ACTCGCGGAGGAGTACTACGTCGTCGCGGTCTCTCGTCGCTTAAGAAATCTCCTTCGCGAGAATAAGTAGGCCGCCGGAGGCGCAGTTGGCGAGGACTAGATCGGGGTTGAACCGATCCTCTTCCGGGAACTTGCCCTTATGCGAAGTGGAGCGCCTCTGGTTATATATCTGGTAAATAGCGCCATGCTCAATGGGACATGCAGAACGAATGGTCCTCGGAAAATGTACCAAGTTCGTTTATCCGACTGTGCGTCTTAGTATGCAGTCTTTCTCTTAGAGTGGTCATAGAAAGTCATTTCTTAGTAACGGTCTTGTCCTTGGATATTTTTGACGTTTAATAATTCCGCCAGCAGAATAAATTCACAATTTTAAAGTTCAGTTTTATTAAAATTAAAAATGCATGAATAAGGAAGTTACTATCGGATGATCTTCCTGACATATGTATCTCGCTATAATTGTTACTGCAATTCTGACGTCGAAATATATATTCATTAATCGCATTTAGGTCAGCTTTAAGAGGAAACCTCAAATACACTTGAGAAATCTTCTCGCGTGTAGGAAAGAGAGTGGTTGGCGGTGTATCATGAGTACACAAGAGGAAACTGATTTTCGGCGGAAGCGGTTCTCCATGTATAATTAGAAACTTTAATTTAAATAGAACTTTATCTCTTGTGCCATTAAAAATACTTTTATAATACTTCTATAATAGACTATAGCAATTATAATACTTCTATATATAATATTCTATATATTATTCTATCTAAGTTTATATAATATTCTATACATAACTATAATAACTATAATATTCTTATTAAAATATCTTTATTACGATATAAATTTAAAAATATTATTTAGAGATTAAGCATGTGTCTAATTTACATATATATCTGATTATATCATATAATTAGTACATTAGTTTATTTTTAACAAGTTGTAAAACGTGATTTCTATCTAAATAAATTTCCTACCTTGTAATTCGCCGACGATGTAATAGCTTCACAATGCTATCATCGGGAAGCGTGAAATCATATTACTCGGTAATTGATCCGCCAAATATGCATTGATTAACTGTTGAATGGTCTTATCGTGCATAATTGAACTCTCGGCTTTCATGTAGGTTAATAATGCGACTCATCAGAGAATGTTTTCGGGTTTCAATTATCGGGGGCAACGTATCCATCGATACACGCGCATGTGTATCGTACATTCAAATACGCAGGCGTATTTTGTACATACACTGGATGGTACTTGTGCGCGTGGATTCATCCGGAGAAACTTGGGGTAAATCTAATCTTTCTATTGTAATCAGTCTTTCAGGAAACCGAATTTACTTTGTAACATCTTCTTCATCGTCTTCTGTTGAAGATGTTGTTATTGTTTAGTGGATATTAGCAGTCGTAGACGATCAATGTTGCTTGAGGAAATATAAAAATAATAAGTTTAAGAATTTGTATAAAATCGATTTGTGTTTTAAATATTAACAGTGCAAACAATTAGAAGCAACAACTGAAGCATTTTGCTGTTGCGTCGTGTCGATGGTTAAGAATGAAGCAATCTTTACCATTCGTTGCTTTAAAAATTACGCTTAACGCTTTGCAGCCAAGGTGAGCAGAGAAACTCAGAAAAAGAGAAGCGTGTTGAGTGGCAGGAGAGAGGAGGAAAGGAGGAAGGAGGAGCACGGGTTCATGAGGAAGGAGAAAAAAAATGAGGTACGAGAGTCGTGCGCTCGCGACTGGTGGGCACACGACTTTTCATTTCCGAGAAGGGCTGTAAAGATTGCTCGCGTGCAACCACCTTCCCCCGGCCCGCACGTTGTTCCCGGCAAACTCGCGGCCGTATTACCGCCATAATAATAAGGTTAATGCCTTGCAAATTAAGCGGACGCGAAAGACCTTTCGCGTGGTTTTATGCCCATTTTAGTGCCGATGCCTGATCTTTGTCGACGAGCCGCAATTATCGCGATATCGGGCCGATGTAATCTCGCGAGTTTCAATAAGATTTGTTAGGGTTTCTCCCCGCGTCTTGAATTACACGAGCAACCATAACGAGCCGTCGATAAACGTAGGTAAACGGATATTAATTAACATTGTTGGAAGCTCGAAAAATATCTTGAATTTTCCAGGTATATATATATATATATCTGGAAGGTACCAGGAAGATATTATAATAAAAATGTATATCACGATCACGTTATTGTTACGTTAACAATGACGGAGCACAATGTAAACTTGCGTTTAGAACGCAGCTGTATCTTCACTCTGAGAATTCTTTGAATTCTGTAGTTAATTATAGGATCCAAGAGAAAATGCTAATTAGATAGAGAGAAGGGAGGTATCGATAGATCGCGAATTAAACGAAGAAAATAGATCGAGAGATTCTTATTCGCTGCGAGTGCACTTTGATCTTCGTTAATGTCATCCTATTATAAGATCCGATAAGAGAGACGATGCACTCTCTTGTTTTAATGAAATTTCGCATTGCCGTGTAATTCACGGAATAACGTAGAGAGACGGCTTTGCCTCCTTTTCCACATTAATGCAGTTTCCAAGTTCGGATAATTAGCCCGTCGCGATATAAGGCGTTCGTTCGTCAGAGGTATCGCCGTAGAATGAAAATACAGCGAAAACGTTTATAACAAGTTGCCTATTACTGTCACTTCCGTCCGAGTTTTCTTCTCAGAAACGCGGCGGATGAAGCCGCAACTGAGTAATCTGCGCGAGTACTGTATCGGGACCCGAATACAGAAATCGATCGCTTTGTTTGGACGTACTCGCGTCACGAGCATTGTCTGACGACAAATGCTCGTAAATCACGAACGA